TGTTTATCAATGTTTATGTTTGATGTTAACTATGTTGTGATGAACATCAGGTGAATGAATGATTGGATGCAGAGAGCATGTATACATGTACACGTAAAAGCAAGAGTAATGGACAAATGGAACACAGAGGGTTAATTATCACTGAATGGTAATCAGCAATGGACAAATAGAAGTCAGTTACGTGGCACAGACCAATTAAATCGATAAGTGCAAGCATTATCAGATTTGTTCCCTGGCCACGATTTATGGCTTTCCACAAATGAAGAAAAAACATTTTCCACTATCAGGTGAAAAGACGATTATGAGGTAGTAAACACCACAAAGAAAAGGGACATTACTCCGCGACGCTTAGAAGTAATCCATTGTGACTGAGTTCACTTGGTGAGAATTTGCCGTGGATAGTATATTGTCATAGGGTTTTGTTCATGAAGAACCAAACTGTTCTAACACAAATATCAATATTGAAGTCGTGTTTATTTGGTATTGTCTTACGGAAAATATTAATAATTCATATCCAAATAAAATAAATGTAATATTCAAGAGTTCACACATGCATCTTTGCAGTCAATCTTCGGATGTCTCACAAAAAACAACTCACATCAGTTGTAAAAACATGTCGCCAGGCCTAATTTAGTAGATGCATGCCTGTTTACGTGACAGTCCTTACCAGATAAACAACACGCCGACCAATAACGATAATCCCCCCTCAAAGTGCCAGCCTCAGGTGATAATAAATGGAATTAATGTCTTTGAAAAATAACCGATGAGCGATTGCTGTGCGTCCTTCCACTATATAAGTAGGTGCAGTTCGAGCGCCAACATAACCGTGGGTATAGACCAAACTCTATCGGACCAATGTCCCCTAGAAAATGGTACTCCACAGGGCAGTATCCTCAGCCCCACCCTCTTCAATATAATGATAAACGATCTATTCGAGGGCCTATCCCCTAAAGTAAACACATCAAAATTCGCGGATGATGGAGCCATCTGGATCCACACTAAAAGCATGAACATGGTCCAAAATTTACTCCAAAAATCTCTTAATAAAATACAACAATGGGCTGACAAATGGGGCTTCTCCCTTAACTCAGAAAAAACAACAGGAATAGTATTCAAACATAAAAACATGAAACCCGCCTCCCCAATCCTCCAGCTAAACAATCAAACAATCAAATTTCAAAAACAAACCAAATTCTTAGGACTTATTTTCGATGTACATCTCACCTGGGATGCTCACATCCAAAACCTAACAACTAAATGCAGTAAAGACCTAAACACCCTAAGATGCCTAACTGGCTCTAACTGGGGAGCATCCAAAGATACCCTCCTCTCTCTCTCTACATATCACTAATTAGATCAAAACTAGACTACGGCTGCGCCATATACAACACCCTAAACAACTCTCTATCTAAAAAACTTGACCCAATACAATATCAGGCTCTCAAACTAATTACACGCACCCAACATGGCACCTCCTACACCTCACTTCAGGCCTTAACAGGAGAAATGCCACTAAGTCTACGCAGGGAACAGCTAAGCTTAAACTTCTGGGCCGCGTCCCAATCAAACCCTCTCATCCAAAACTTAATAAACCAAAACATCAGCCCCAAAAACCAAGCTCTAGCTCGTAAACACCCCTTACTTACCCCAATATCCCAAAGAATAACAAACTACCTAAATGAACACCAAATCAAAAATCTTAAACAAAACTGCAAACAATCAAATATCTTCACCCCTAAACTTAAAATACCCAAAATAGACACAACACTAGCTTGCCAAATAAATAAACAAACCGACCCAAACATAGCTAAAACTACCACACTAGCATACATACACGAAAATTGGCCAAATTGGTGTCACATTTACACGGACGGATCCTCAGATCCGACCTCCAAACACACAGGTTTCGGAGTCCATACCACACAACCAACTAAAACCACACAATCCTTCCGACTCCCAAACAACCAATCATTATTCACGGCAGAACTAATGGGCATGGCCTCAGCCCTCCATAATCAAGAATCCAAAAAACACAAAAAAATCCTCATACTTACCGACTCCCTAAGTGGACTGCAAGCCCTCCAAAACAAAAATACCAAAAACCGACCTAAATTAATAAATCAAATACTTAAAAGCTCCAACGACCTCACTAAGGCAGGCAATAAATAACCTTCTTGTGGATATACGCCCACGTAGGAATATACGGTAATGAAAACGCCGATAAAGCAGCTAAACTATCTCTCAAAATCCCAGAAATAAGCTTAAACTTACCCATCTCAAAATCAGAAATTAAAAGTGTAAACAAGCAAAAAATCACCAAAAAATGGCATAACCTATATCTAAACTCAAATAGCCAAATCAAAAAAGTGCTCAGCAAACCACTAACCAAACCAAAAATTCTCCATCCATCCAAAAAAATCGAAAGAGTAATCACTAAACTCAGAACAGGACACACCAACCTAAATAACCACCTACAAAAATTTAAAAAACACACTACAGGTAACTGCCCACACTGCAAACAACCAGAAACCCCAGAACACGCACTCATCCACTGCACACACTACCTAACACATCGAACCACATTACAAACCACCCTCAATCTAAACAAGGCTCTAACTCTAGAAGCAATACTAAACCCACAAAATTAACTAGAAAACTTCAAGGCCTTAGGCGTATTCTTAATAAAAACGGAACTAATAAAACGCATCTAAAAACACAATAACCTACCAAATCAAAATCACATAAACAAACAAACATCCACCATACCCAGCTCCCTTAGTTCCCCTCCCCAATCCCATCGGCATCTATTCCAAATCTCAAAATTCCCAAATTCTATATAAGCAACCCCTAAAACCCCCTTCTTGGGTTGCACAGACCACCTTCGCCCCTTTCGGAAACACATTAAATGGCCTGGCCGGGCCCGTGTGCGAAATACGCATCAGTCGGAAAGCGCACGTTAAATCTCCAAAGTAAGTAAGTAAGTAAGCGCCAAGTCACACTGCATCTGAATGCATTTTGGAACGCTAGCAACTCGTATATCATCATTCATTGATTTTATCTGAAGGTAAGACATTTTCATGTGTTCTTTCAAGTTGATTTCTCTTTGTATATATTGTATACTTTCAACTACGTGCGTAGGTTTATTGTGAAGTTAATGTATTTTGTACATTCAATGTATTTTGAATATCCTATAACGTTTTATGAGTGTTTTGAACATCAAATTGATGCGCACTGTTCCAACTATATGTGTCACCTAAGTATGTTGTGTAAATCTTCGGTTACCCCGTTACCAAAATATAAGTACAGTCATTCCTAATCAATATTTGGTAACGGTTTGATAAATGAGAAATATAGTAACAACAACGTTTTGTAAGTAAAATATTTTATGTCGTGAACGAGGATTTGACTTAATATGGGCATCGGTAATGCTGGACTTCGTTAACAGTCAACTCTTTTCGTCTAGGAAGTATACATGTATCGTGTTAAATGGAAACCCTCATATACGAGCTCAACATAAAATAGGTCATGGGACATGTATTAATAGAACGACGGTGAGTCGGTTGACTTTATTACCGTCATAATCTAAAATTACGTCCATCATTTCAAACTGACAGTAGCATTGAGAATCACATGTATTAATTAGGAGACTGGTTAATTTCAACATTTTGTTTTTAAAGAACAAATTCTAGTCTGATTTTGATTTATTATGAACATGTTTATGTTTTTCACTAAGAATGGTTGTGTCAAACGAAATCAAGATGCTTTATGATAGTCATCTGTGATAATGGAATTTATGAATATCTATTAATTATCCTCTATTCATTAATCTTTTTTGAAGGTAAAGTTACCGCGATATTACACTAATGCGACATTGGTATGTCGATTAAAATATGCCTCACCCAATTTTCGTTCATAATATGAAAATTAGTCACATTTGACACTTTTTCGACACAATTTGAAATGACCGTGTTTCCCCTGACATAAATGACAACTTGAATAGATAAACAATGACGGCTGACCGTCTATCTTTATTGGACACGACGCATCTGTTAGGCATCAATCAGATACTCAAACAAATATTTCAAAATAAGCAAATATATATTTAATGTTGGACATTTGTTCATTATTACCTTGTCATTTCTCAACCTTTCGTGTCAGAAGTATACAATGAAAGATGCGCAAAAGGCTTTTACATGGAATTATCAGGGCAAGCAATTGTTTATATTCTGAACGAGAGTACATCGTGAATCGTTTGTCACTAACACACACCTGGTAAATCGTGAGACGTCAATGTTCTGTGAATCAAAAGACCAAAAACAATTCCAGGACGAAGACTGGTCCCCTGGCGCTGTTCAGGCGAAGGGCAGGGTACTAGTTTGTTACAAAATAGAGACATCAGCGGTCCGAGGTTGTCGTACCCAGAGGCGACAGTTTTTGATGGCGCAAATTTCGCCGAATATGCCCCCCCCCCCCCCCCCCCCCCCCCCCAATATGCTGTTGGTAGCGGAAATATGGAACGCCCAGTATAAGAACTGGAAAAATTTCACTTTTTTATCGGTAATAGTGGTGGAATGATAGGGTCTATCCCATTGGCTCTGATATCTGGCCTCTGGATTTTGCATTATTGTATTCTCAAGCGTTGGCGATTTATATTTGCAACACAGCCATCTCTATTCTCATTTGACAGCATGATGCCTATGCCCTTAAAGTATTACAGCAGTCATGGTACGGTAGGTGAATACACTTCAGGGAGAGATTATAGAAAAAGATTTATATAACAAATGACACCATTGACATATTATAAGATACAAGATATAATGGATGCGTTGAATGTGGAAACACATTTACAGTATCAGGTAGTTTATCATTATACATATTGTGTCATATTATGTATGGTCCCAGCCCGAGTTGTTGGTGTTCTTGTGGAAACATCTGTAGGAAATGCATTCATTTGATAAAAGAACGTCACAACTTCTTTATGTTTACAGTGAATACGATAACACGAAGTTAATAATGGAAGCACCTAGCCAACCACAGAATACTGCCTCTGTTACTGAAACACGTGTGATCACCGTCTGTGAGAGTGAATTGCTGGAAACAGGTCGTCTCAAGAAACACTGTGTTGCTGACACGCTGGAAACAGGTGATCTCCGGCAACACAAAGATCGTGGTGGTCCTTCAAAGCGATCACAGTGTGGAAAGTGTGGGGCAACATTTATAAAAACAGGTGCCACGAAAAGGCACATGCTTTGTCACAGTGAAGTCAAGCTTCATCAGTGTGATGAATGTGGGAAAGGATTTACTCAGTTATGCAGCCTGAAGGCACACATGTGGATTCACAGTGAAATCAAGCCTTATCAGTGCACTGTGTGTGAAAAAACTTTTACACTATCAGGTGCCCTGCAGAGACACATGCGAATTCACACTGGAATCAAGCCGTATCAGTGTGTTGAATGTGGGAAAAGATTTACACAGTCAGGTAACCTGCAGTCCCACATGAGGATTCACAGTGGAATGAAGCCGTATCAGTGTGTTGAATGTGGGAAAGGATTTAAACATTCACATCAGCTGCAGTCACATATGAGGATTCACAGTGGAATCAAGCCGTATCAGTGTGTTGAATGTGGGAAAGGATTTACACAATCATGTAACCTGCAGACCCACATGAGGATTCACAGTGGAATCAAGCCTTATCAGTGCATTGTGTGTGAAAAAACATTTACACTATCAGGTGCCCTGCAGAGACACATGCGAATTCACACTGGAATCAAGCCGTATCAGTGTGTTGAATGTGGGAAACGATTTACACATTCAAGTAGCCTGCAGTCACACATGAGGGTTCACAGTGGAATCAAGCCGTATCAGTGTGTTGAATGTGGGAAAGGATTTACACAATCAGGTAACCTGCAGTCACACATGAAGATTCACAGTGGAATCAAGCCGTATCAGTGTGTTGAATGTAGGAAAGGATTTACACAGGCAGGTAGCCTGAAGTCACACATGAGGATTCACAGTGGAATCAAGCCGTATCAGTGTGTTGAATGTGGGAAAGGATTTACACAGGCAGGTAACCTGCAGAGACACATGAGGGTTCACAGTGGAATCAAGCCGTATCGGTATATTGAATTGTCTGGATTGTAATCTCATAAGTGAATGAATGTGCATAACAACTGATAAATGATAAACTAACAGACGTGTTATCGGGTAATCCTTTAATCCATGCATGGGCTACTGACACCTAGAGATTTGTGTATTCCATCTGCTCTACATAACTACAGATATAGTGGGGTCAAGATTAGACTTTCTCCATTTATATACAAATTATTATCATTTGAAAATAAATATCTCCAAGAAGGTGGGTAGCTCAGATGTTTATTCTCATCCATCATCAAGACACATTTTTATTATTCAAAATCTTTCATGGTCAGAACGGGAAAACGTTTTGAAAACGGCAAGCATTTGGGGCCTTTAACCTTTACTAATTAGACGACAATGTCAGTTGTAGAAACCATTTACTAAAATCGAACCAGACCTTCTGGTATTCTGTTTTTCGTGGTTTTATTTTCATATTGACGTTTGTCAATTCTGGATTCTTTGAACTGAAATATATTCTGTGGCGTTGACTTTTTGAATTATCTGATACTGATTCTTTCTGAATAAAATCAACAACATCAACTCCCTTGTTGGTCACACTTCATAATGACACTTGTCGGTTAGAGTAACAGACGTGCATATGATCTTCTGATAGGTAGAATGAGGGGCTACAGACTAGACAACTGTCTGCAAAAACGACACCTTGCCAGTCTGGATTGGTGGGTTGGTAGGTTTGTTGTTTAACACCACACTCAGCAATATTCCAGCGATATGGTCTGTAAATAATCGAGTCTGAACCAGACAATCCAGTCATGGATTGCCAGTCTGGGTGACAGACTTACTTACTTTGTTACCCGGTTTTAGTTCAAGCCTTATCACTGTCACTGTATCAGTGTAATGAATGGACCCGTGAAGATCTGGGGTAGAATAGGTCTTCAGCAACCCATGCTTGCTGTAAAAGGCGATAACCATGGACGCGACAATCATGGACGTAGACAATGATGCCTGAAATAACGTAACCTCAGATGACATACACACAGGTGTATGATTCTACCATCCAGCATGGGTGACAAGGATGTGTGCTTGTGATATAGCATTTATTATCTGTAAATTAGTTGCCGCTTCTGGTTTTTAGTACATGAACTTTACTTTATTCTGTGGCGAAGACGTTTTGAATTTCATGTTACTGATCATTCCTGAATAAAACATTGTTTAAATCAACATGAAAGGACTTTTGAGAAAAAAGAATATTTATTTTCCTAAAAAAACGAAAACTAACAGAGTATCCTATACATGCTCAATCGGAGAGAAATCGTGTGAACCTGTCTTTCGTTATCTTGTTGAAAAAGTCCCCCACGATGATGTGATGTTGCACGATCTCGTCTCCATTTTGGCTTTTGATAGCATATATTGTCTAGCCTGTACCCCATCAATCTACCTGTCTCGTTGGTCCCACTTCAAAATGACACATTGCCAGTCCGAGTAACGGACGTGCATGCGGTCTTCTGATAAGTTTAATGATGTGTTTGATGCAATCATTGAAACGTCCATAGTGAGTGAGTTTGATTTTAAGCCGCTTTAAGCAATATTCGAGAAATATCACGGCGGGGGACACTATAAATGGGCTTCACACATTGTACCCATGTCGGGAATCGAACCCGGGTCTTGGACGTGCGGTCGGGTAGCCTAGTGGTTAAAGCGTTATCTCGTCACGTCGAAGACCCGGGTTCGATTCCCGACATGGATACAATGTGTGAAGCCCATTTCTTGTGTCCCCCGCCGTGATATTGCTGGAATATTGATAAAAGCGGTGTAAAATCAAACTCACCCACTCACTCACTCACTTGAATTTAGTAACGATACATTTCCCCACTCCCAAAAGTTCTTGTTTTTTTTAAAGAATTAATAAGTGGAAGTGGGGTGGGGACTATTTTAAGTTTCTCTCACATTTACCACTAATTTTAATAGGATGCTGGAAATGAATATACACTGCCATCTTGACTGACTGTCGATAGTGTTTTTGATCTCAACAATCACCGGGTGTGTCCATATAGAGAGGATCTCATTTAGGTTTGTGATTTTGGAGGATGCTGGAAATGAATATACACTGCCATCTTGACTGACTGTCGATAGTGTTTTTGATCTCAACAATCACCGGGTGTGTCCATGTAGAGAGGATCTCATTTAGGTTTGTGATTTTGACACTTGCTCTCTAAGCATGCTGAGTATTAGTGCTGAGGAATTCCATAGGTAGTAGTAGTAAAATGTTTATTAAAGTGTCATATAAAGTGAGAGCTGGGAAATTAAGCTACGAAATCAGAAGACTCACAGGAAACAATAACAAACTCCTCGATTCAACAACGAAAGAAAAAGAAAGGATAGGTAGAGAGAGAGGTAATTTAATAATCAAGGTGACGACTGTCGTCTCTTAAACATTTTAAAAAGCATTGCGGCAAGCAATTTTTGTTTAACGTTGGAATTCATTGAGTAAATAAAAAATTCTTCTTTTCGCATATCACATTATAATTGCGGTTGTTTTCTTCAGCTGCACAGTATACATCATGCTGTAAATGTTCATAAAAACTGCATTGTAGTAATAAATGACATTCATCTTCCACCAAATCACAATTGCAATATTTACATAACCTCTCCGATAGTGGTATAGGAGGCTTGGAATATCTGCATGTCTCAACAAACAAAGGAAAAATTTCACATCTAAACTTGGCTAAAATACGGCGGTGGTCTCTATACAAAATATTTTAACATAGAAATCAAGAGAAGGTGTGCACTTATATTTTCTTTAGGTATGTAACTTATTTCCTTTCACATTACCCGTATCATTCCAAAGCGAAGTGTGCCAATTAACTGTGTCATCTTAAAATAAAACCTTTTTGATTTCTGATTTCCAGTAAGTGAGTACAATTATACTGGTTCAAAAGGTTCATAATTTTACCATCCCAAGATGTGGTAAAACATCTAGACCATCGGTGAATAATATTAAGCAGGCGCTCTTGCTGCATAGATTTAAGTCTGAAACATTCTATTTTCTGAGAAACCAAAACTGAGCACCAGCCCATATTCCCTCTACTTGCCAGAACAGGAGCATATTTATTTAAACCAAGAAACATCCTGGCAGCCTTATTTTTCACAACCTCAACTTCTTTAACATTATGTAAGCCCTATATACTGGCACCAAAACACAAAACTGGTTCAACCAGCGATTTATACAACTTCGTAAAAACATCATATGACATTCCACCAGCATAACTATACTTAGTGTGCAGAGCAGATAACACTCTACGAGCAGACTTACAAAGCTCTTTCCCGGTCTTGTTCATGTCTAAATATTCGTTAAAACACAATCCTAGATAACGGTAAGCGCTATCATAAGAAATGTGAGTATTGCCACACGAAAACTGACAACTAACAAGATCTAACAACAGATTTCTTCCGAAAATGGACAATTTGTGTTGTCATCATTAATGCTAAAACGCCATTTTATACACCAAGTAATTACAATATCTAACATATTTTGGGGATATGCTTCCCAATATCATCAGTGTATAACAAAATGGATAACATTTCGTTATCCAATGGTACACCCCATGTGAGATTCGATATCTCCGTGGCTAGATCATTTCTATATATAGAAAATAGAGTTGGTGACAATTTGCAACCTTGCTTAACACCCTTGGAAACATTAAAAGAATCTGTTATATAGTCATTAACGCGTACTGCACATCTCACATCTTGATATAGGGCTTGAACAGCTTTCAATATCTTCCCCTGTTACTCCAACAGATATAAGTTTAAACCATTGACAATTGCGGTCAGCAGTGTCAAATACTTTCTTTAAGTCTATAAAACACACATAGGTTGATAGTCAAGCACATTTCCTATTATTTATCACATTATATAAAGTATACAAATGGTCGATACAGTTTCTGTCAGAACGGAAACCATTTTGTTCCTGAGACAATATAATGTTCTTCTCAAGCCAGTTCCTGATTCTATTTTCAAAACGCCTGCACATATTTTACATGGTATAGACACAAAATTAATACCTCTATACGACAGAGGATCAGTCGGGACACTTTTATCTTTTGGTATGGGGCTAATAAGTCCTTGGTTCCACTGTGTAGGTGACACAGAATAATCAAAGCAGTAACTGACTAATTTATGCAATACTTTTATGCAGTGAGAGTTCTGTAAAACCTCAACTGGAACACCATCCAGATGGACAGCTTTGCCTTTTTTGGTGTTTTAAACCTCTCGTTCGACTTCCTGGTATGGGATGGGCATGTTGAGCTCGAGCGTATCCATCTGCATGTGCTCTGTACCGTTACCTACACGTTCACCCCCCCTTATAATAGTGGTCTTCATCAAACGAGCTGTTATCACTGCCGTTATAAAGCGTGTTGTACGAGTTCCTCCAGTGTTCATAGGTAACATTTTACTATTTCTGTGTTTTTTAGGGGGTTTATTCCTTTCGTTCTAAGTGGGTAGATCAGACTTGGTTAGAATATGTGTATATTTGTGACAGCTTAAAGCTGGTGGCATTTAGTGATGATGAATAGTATTATTGTTTGTCAATTTGTTAATAGAACTGTGATATAAAGTATATGTTGGCTGTTGTTTACATCACTTTTATTCAGTGTGGGGAAATGTCCTATATACCACGAAGTGGTCATAACATTGACACTTGACAATGAGCTATTTGTTTATCAATGTTTATGTTTGATGTTAACTATGTTATGATGAACATCAGGTGAATGAATGCTTGGATGCAGAGAGCATGTATACATGTACACGTAAAAGCAAGAGTAATGGACAAATGGAACACAGAGGGTTAATTATCACTGAATGGTAATCAGCAATGGACAAATAGAAGTCAGTTGCGTGGCACAGACCAATTAAATCGATAAGTGCAAGCATTGTCAGATATGTTCCCTGGCCACGATTTATGGCTTTCCACAAATGAAGAAAAAACATTTTCCACTATCAGGTGAAAGACGATTATGAGGTCGTAAACATCACAAAGAAAAGGGACATTACTCCGCGACGCTTAGAAGTAATCCATTGTGAGTTCACTTGGGGATAATTTGCCGTAGATAGTATATTGTCATAGTGTTTTGTTCATGAAGAACCAAACTGTTCTAACACAAATATCAACATTGAAGTCGTGTTTATTTGGTATTGTCTTACGGAAAACATTAATAATTCATATCCAAATAAAATAAATATAATATTCAAGAGTTCACACATGCATCTTTGCAGTCAATCTTCGGATGTCTCACAAAAAACAACTCACATCAGTTGTAAAAACATGTCGCCAGGCCTAATTTATTAGATGCATGCCTGTTTACGTGACAGTCCTTACCAGATAAATAACACGCCGACCTCTGTTTTCAATAACCATAATCCGCTAGATAACCTATAATGTATTGTTCACCGGGAACTAAAGGTGATAATAAATGGAGTTAATGTCTTTGACAAATAACCGATCAGCGATTGCTGTGCGTCCTTCCACTATATAAGTAGGTGCAGTTCGAGTGCCATGTCACACTGCATCTGAATACATTTTGGAACGCTAGCAACTTGTATATCATCATTCATTGATTTTATCTGAAGGTAAGACATTTTCATGTGTTCTTTCAAGTTGATTTCTCTTTGTATATATTGTATACTTTCAACTACGTGCGTAGGTTTATTGTGAAGTTAATGTATTTTGTACATTCAATGTATTTTGAATATCCTATAACGTTTTATGAGTGTTTTGAACATCAAATTGATGCGCACTGTTCCAACTATATGTGTCACCTAAGTATGTTGTGTAAATCTTCGGTTACCCCGTTACCAAAATATAAGTACAGTCATTCCTAATCAATATTTGGTAACGGTTTGATAAATGAGAAATATAGTAACAACAACGTTTTGTAAGTAAAATATTTTATGTCGTGAACGAGGATTTGACTTAATATGGGCATCGGTAATGCTGGACTTCGTTAACAGTCAACTCTTTTCGTCTAGGAAGTATACATGTATCGTGTTAAATGGAAACCCTCATATACAAGCTCAACATAAAATAGGTCATGGGACATGTATTAATAGAACGACGGTGAGTCGGTTGACTTTATTACCGTCATAATCTAAAATTACGTCCATTATTTCAAACTGACAGTAGCATTGAGAATCACGTGTATTAATTAGGAGACTGGTAAATTTCAACATTTTGTTTTTAAAGAACAAATTCTAGTCTGATTTTGATTTATTATGAACATGTTTATCTTTTTCACTATGAATAGTTGTGTCAGACGAAATCAAGATGCTTTATGATAGTCATCTGTAATAATGTAATTTATGAATATCTATTAATTATCCTCTATTCATTAATCTTTTTTGAAGGCAAAGTTACCGCGATATTACACGAATGCGACATTGGTATGTCGATTAAAATATGTCTCACCCAATTTTCGTTCATAATATGAAAATTAGTCACAATTGACACTTTCGACACAATTTGAAATGACCGTGTTTCCCCTGACATAAATGACGACTTGAATAGATAAACAATGACGGCTGACCGTCTATCTTTATTGGACACGACGCATCTGTTAGGCATCAATCTTATACTCAACAAATATTTCAAAATAAACAAATATATATTTAATGTTGGACATTTGTCCATTATTACCTTGTCATTTCTCAACCTTTCGTGTCAGAAGTATACAATGAAAGATGCGCAAAAGGCTTTTACATGGAATTATCAGGGCAAGCAATTGTTTATATTCTGAACGAGAGTATATCGTGAATCGTTTGTCACTAACACACACCTGGTAAATCGTGAGACGTCAATGTTCTGTGAATCAAAAGACCCAAAACAATTCCAGGACCCAGACTGGTCCCCTGGCGCTGTTCAGGCGAAGGGCAGGGTACTAGTTTGTTACAAAATAGAGACATCAGCGGTCCAAGGTGGTCGTACCCAGAGGCGACAGTTTTTGATGTCGCAAATTTCGCCGAATATGCCCCCGCCCCCCCCCGATATGCTGTTGGTAGCGGAAATATGGAACGCCCAGTATAAGAACTGGAAAAATTTCACTTTTTTATCGGTAATAGTGGTGGAATGATAGGGTCTATCCCATTGGCTCTGATATCTGGCCTCTGGATTTTGCATTATTGTATTCTCAAGCGTTGGCGATTTATATTTGCAACACAGCCATCTCTATTCTCCTTTGACAGCATGATGCCTATGCCCTTAATGTATTACAGCAGTCATGGTACGGTAGGTGAATACACTTCAGGGAGAAATTATAAAAAAGATTAATATAACAAATGACACCATTGACATATTATAAGATACAAGATATAATGGATGTGTTGAATGTGGAAACACATTTACAGTATCAGGTAGTTTATCATTATACATATTGTGTCATATTATGTATGGTCCCAGCCCGAGTTGTCGGTGTTCTTGTGGAAACATCTGTAGGAAATGCATTGATTTGATAAAAGAACGTCACAACTTCTTTATGTTTACAGTGAACACGATAACACGAAGTTAATAATGGAAGCACCTAGCCAACCACAGAATACTGCCTCTGTTACTGAAACACGTGTGATCACCGTCTGTGAGAGTGAATTGCTGGAAACAGGTCGTCTCAAGAAACACTGTGTTGCTGACACGCTGGAAACAGGTGATCTCCGGCAACACAAAGATCGTGGTGGTCGTTCAAAGCGATCACAGTGTGGAAAGTGTGGGGCAACATTTATTAAATCAGGTGCCACGAAAAGGCACATGCTTTGTCACAGTGAAGTCAAGCTTCATCAGTGTGATGAATGTGGGAAAGGATTTACTCAGTTATGCAGCCTGAAGGCACACATGTGGATTCACAGTGAAATCAAGCCTTATCAGTGCACTGTGTGTGAAAAAACATTTACACTATCAGGTGCCCTGCAGAGACACATGCGAATTCACACTGGAATCAAGCCGTATCAGTGTGTTGAATGTGGGAAAAGATTTACACAGTCAGGTAACCTGCAGTCCCACATGAGGATTCACAGTGGAATGAAGCCGTATCAGTGTGTTGAATGTGGGAAAGGATTTAAACATTCACATCAGCTGCAGTCACATATGAGGATTCACAGTGGAATCAAGCCGTATCAGTGTGTTGAATGTGGGAAAGGATTTACACAATCAGGTAACCTGCAGACCCACATGAGGGTTCATAGTGGAATCAAGCCTTATCAGTGCATTGTGTGTGAAAAAACATTTACACTATCAGATGCCCTGCAGAGACACATGCGAATTCACAGTGGAATCAAGCCGTATCAGTGTGTTGAATGTGGGAAACGATTTACACATTCAGGTAGCCTGCAGTCACACATGAGGGTTCACAGTGGAATCAAGCCGTATCAGTGTGTTGAATGTGGGAAAGGATTTACACAATCAGGTAACCTGCAGTCACACATGAAGATTCACAGTGGAATCAAGCCGTATCAGTGTGTTGAATGTGGGAAAGGATTTACACAGGCAGGTAGCCTGAAGTCACACATGAGGATTCACAGTGGAATCAAGCCGTATCAGTGTGTTGAATGTGGGAAAGGATTTACACAGGCAGGTAACCTGCAGAGACACATGAGGGTTCACAGTGGAATCAAGCCGTATCGGTATATTGAATTGTCTGGATTGTAATCTCATAAGTGAATGAATGTGCATAACAACTGATAAATGATAAATCAACAGACGTGTAATCCGGTAATCCTTTAATCCATGCATGGGCTACTGACACCTCGAGATTGGTGTATTCCATCTGCTCTACATAACTACAGATATAGTGGGGTCAAGATTAGACTTTCTCCATTTATATACAAATTATTATCATTTGAAAATAAATATCTCCAAGAAGGTGGGTAGCTCAGATGTTTATGCTCATCCATCATCAAGACACATTATTATTATTCAAAATCTTTCATGGTCAGAACGGGAAAACGTTTTGAAAACGGCAAGCATTTGGGGCCTTTAACCTTTACTAATTAGACGACATTGTCAGTTGTAGAAACCATTTACTAAAATCGAACCAGACCTTCTGGTATTCCGTTTTTCGTGGTTTTATTTTCATATTGACGTTTGTCAATTCTGGATTCTATGAACTGAAATATATTCTGTGGCGTTGACTTTTTGAATTATCTGATACTGATTCTTTCTGAATAAAATCAACAACATCAACTCCCTTGTTGGTCACACTTCATAATGACACTTGTCGGTTAGAGTAACAGACGTGAATATGATCTTCTGATAGGTAGAATGAGGGGCTACAGACTAGACAACTGTCTGCAAAAACGACACCTTGCCAGTCTGGATTGGTGGGTTGGTAGGTTTGTTGTTTAACACCACACTCAGCAATATTCCAGCGATATGGTCTGTAAATAATCGAGTCTGAACCAGACAATCCAGTCATGGATTGCCAGTCTGGGTGACAGACTTACTTACTTTGTTACCCGGTTTTAGTTCAAGCCTTATCACTGTCACTGTATCAGTGTAATGAATGGACCCGTGAAGATCTGGGGTAGAATAGGTCTTCAGCAACCCATGCTTGCTGTAAAAGGCGATAACCATGGACGCGACAATCATGGACGTAGACAATGATGCCTGAAATAACGTAACCTCAGATGACATACACACAGGTGTATGATTCTACCATCCAGCATGGGTGACAAGGATGTGTGCTTGTGATATAGCATTTATTATCTGTAAATTAGTTGCCGCTTCTGGTTTTTAGTACATGAACTTTACTTTATTCTGTGGCGAAGACGTTTTGAATTTCATGTTACTGATCATTCCTGAATAAAACATTGTTTAAATCAACATGAAAGGACTTTTGAGAAAAAAGAATATTTATTTTCCTAAAAAAACGAAAACTAACAGAGTATCCTATACATGGTCAATCGGAGAAAAATCGTGTGAACCTGTCTTTCGTTATCTTGTTGAAAAAGTCCCCCACGATGATGTGATGTTGCACGATCTAGTCTCCATTTTGGCTTTTGATAGCATATATTGTCTAGCCTGTACCCCATCAATCTACCTGTCTCGTTGGTCCCACTTCAAAATGACACATTGCCAGTCCGAGTAACGGACGTGCATGCGGTCTTCTGATAAGTTTAATGATGTGTTTGATGCAATCATTGAAACGTCCATAGTGAGTGAGTTTGATTTTAAGCCGCTTTAAACAATATTCGAGAAATATCACGGCGGGGGACACTATAAATGGGCTTCACACATTGTATCCATGTCGGGAATCGAACCCGGGTCTTGGACGTGCGGTCGGGTAGCCTCGTGGTTAAAGCGTTATCTCGTCACGTCGAAGACCCGGGTTGGATTCCCGACATGGGTACAATGTGTGAAGCCCATTTCTTGTGTCCCCCGCCGTGATATTGCTGGAATATTGATAAAAGCGGTGTAAAATCAAACTCACCCACTCACTCACTCACTCACTTGAATTTAGTAACGATACATTTCCCCACCCCCAACAGTTCTTGTTTTTTTTAAGAATTAATAAGTGGAAGTGGGCTGGGGACTATTTTAAGTTTCTCTCACATTTACCACTAATTTTAATAGGATGCTGGAAATGAATATACACTGCCACACTGACTGTCGATAGTGTTTTTGATCTCAACAATCACCGGGCGTGTCCATGTAGAGAGGATCTCATTTAGGTTTGTGATTTTGACACTTGCTCTCTAAGCATGCTGAGTATTAGTGCTGAGGAATTCCATAGGTAGTAGTAGTAAAATGTTTATTAAAGTGTCATATAATGTGAGAGCTGGGAAATTAAGCTACGAAATCAGAAGACTCACAGGAAACAATAACAAACTCCTCGATTCAACAACGAAAGAAAAAGAAAGGATAGGTAGGGAGAGAGGTAATTTAATAATCAAGGCGACGACTGTCGTCTCTTAAACCTTTTAAAAAGCATTGCGGCAAGCAATTTTTGTTTAACGTTTGAATTTATTGAGTAAATAAAAAATTCTTCTTTTCACATATCACATTATAATTGCGGTTGTTTCTTCAGCTGCAAAGTATAAATCATGCCGTAAATCTTCATAAAAACTGCATTGTAGTAATAAATGACATTCATCTTCCACCAAATCACAATTGCAATATTTATAATAACCTCTCCGATAGTGGTATAGGAGGCTTGGAATATCTGCATGTCTCAACAAACAAAGGAAAAATTTCACATCTAAACTTGGCTAAAATACGGCGGTGGTCTCTATACAAAATATTTTAACATAGAAATCAAGAGAAGGTGTACACTTATATTTCTGTAGGTATGTAACATTTTTCCATTCACATTACCCGTATCATTCCAAAGCGAAGTGTGCCATTAACTGCGTCATCTTGAAATAAAAGGTTTTTAATATACCTAACACAGCGTTTAACACCCCATCTGATTTCCAGTAAGTGAGTACAATTATACTGGTTCAAAAGGTTCATAATTTTACTATACGAAGATGTGGTAAAACATCTAGACCATCGGTGAATAATATTAAGCAGGCGCTCTTGCTGCATAGATTTAAGTCTGAAACATTCTATTTTCTGAGTAACCAAAACTGAGCACCAGCCCATATTCCCTCTGCTTGCCAGAACAGGAGCATATTTATTTAAACCAAGAAACATCCTGGCAGCCTTATTTTTCACAACCTCAACTTCTTTAACACTATGTAAGCCCTATATACTGGCACCAAAACACAAAACTGGTTCAATCAGCGATTTATACAACTTCGTAAAAACATCGTATGACATTCCACCAGCATTACTATACTAAGTGTACAGAGCAGATAACACTCTACGAGCTGACTTACAAAGCTCTTTCCCGGTCTTGTGCATGTCTAAATATTCGTTTAAACACAATCCTAGATAACGGTAAGCGCTATCATAAGAAATGTGAGTATTGCCACACGAAAACTGATAACTAACAAGATCTAACAACAGATTTCTTCCGAAAATGGACAATTTCTGTTGTCATCATTAATGCTAAAACGCCATTTTATACACCAAGTAGTTACAATATCTAACATATTTTGGAGATATGCTTCCCAATATCATCAGTGTATAACAAAATGGATAACATTTCGTTATCCAATGGTACACCCCATGTGAGATTCGTTATGTCCGTGGCTAGATCATTTCTATATATAGAAAATAGAGTTGGTGACAGTTTGCAACCTTGCTTAACACCCTTGGAAACATTAAAAGAATCTGTTATATAGTCATTAACGCGTACTGCACATCTCACATCTTGATATAGGGCTTGAACAGCTTTCAATATCTTCCCTTGTACTCCAACAGACATAAGTTTAAACCATTTACAATTGCGGTCAGCAGTGTCAAATACTTTCTTTAAGTCTATAAAACACACATAGGTTGATAGTCAAGCAAATTTCCTATTATGTATCACATTATATAAAGTATACAAATGGTCGATACAGTTTCTGTCAGAACGGAAACCATTTTGTTCCTGAGACAATATAATGTTCTTCTCAAGCCAGTTCCTGATTCTATTTTCAAAACGCCTGCATATATTTTACATATATATACACAAAATTAATACCTCTATACGACAGAGGATCAGTCGGGACACTTTTATCTTTTGGTATGGGGCTAATAAGTCCTTGGTTCCACTGTGTAGGTGACACATAATAATCAAAGCAGTAACTGACTAATTTATGCAATACTTTTATGCAGTGAGAGTTCTGTAAAACCTCAACTGGAACACCATCCAGATGGACAGCTTTGCCTTTTTTGGTGTGTTAAACCTCTCGTTCGACTTCCTGGTATGGGATGGGCATGTTGAGCTCGAGCGTATCCATCTGCACGTGCCCTGTACCGTTACCTACACGTTCACACACTTTATAATAGTGGTCTTCATCAAACGAGCTGTTATCACTGCCGTTATAAAGCGTGTTGTAAGAGTCCCTCCAGTGTTCATAGGTAACGTTTTACTATTTCTGTGTTTTTTAGGGGGTTTATTCCTTTCGTTCTAAGTGGGTAGATCAGACTTGGTTAGAATATGTGTATATTTGTGACAGCTTAAAGCTGGTGGCATTTAGTGATGATGAATAGTATTATTGTTTGTCAATTTGTTAATAGAACTGTGATATAAAGTATATGTTGGCTGTTGTTTACATCACTTTTATTCAGTGTGGGGAAATGTCCTATATACCACGAAGTGGTCATAACATTGACACTTGACAATGAGCTATTTGTTTATCAATGTTTATGTTTGATGTTAACTATGTTATGATGAACATCAGGTGAATGAATGCTTGGATGCAGAGAGCATGTATACATGTACACGTAAAAGCAAGAGTAATGGACAAATGGAACACAGAGGGTTAATTATCACTGAATGGTAATCAGCAATGGACAAATAGAAGTCAGTTGCGTGGCACAGACCAATTAAATCGATAAGTGCAAGCATTATCAGATATGTTCCCTGGCCACGATTTATGGCTTTCCACAAATGAAGAAAAAACATTTTCCACTATCAGGTGAAAAGACGATTATGAGGTAGTAAACATCACAAAGAAAAGGGACATTACTCCGCAACGCTTAGAAGTAATCCATTGTGAGTTCACTTGGGGAGAATTTGCCGTGGATAGTATATTGTCATAATGTTTTGTTCATGAAGAACCAAACTGTTCTAACACAAATATCAACATTGAAGTCGTGTTTATTTGGTATTGTCTTACGGAAAATATTAATAATTCATACCCAAATAAAATAATTATAATATTCAAGAGTTCACACATGCATCTTTGCAGTCAATCTTCGGATGTCTCACAAAAAACAACTCACATCAGTTGTAAAAACATGTCGCCAGGCCTAATTTAGTAGATGCATGCCTGTTTACGTGACAGTCCTTACCAGATAAACAACACGCCGACCAATAACGATAATCCCCCCTCAAAGTGCCAGCCTCTGTTTTCAATAACCATAATCCGCTAGATAACCTGTATTGCATTGTTCACCGGGAACTAAAGGTGATAATAAATGGAATTAATGTCTTTGAAAAATAACCGATCAGCGATTGCTGTGCGTCCTTCCACTATATAAGTAGGTGCAGTTCGAGTGCCAAAGTCCCGTGTGCGAAATACGCATCAGTCGGAAAGCGCACGTTAAATCTCCAAAGTAAGTAAGTAAGTAAGAGTGCCAAGTCACACTGCATCTGAATGCATTTTGGAACGCTAGCAACTCGTAGATCATCATTCATTGATTTTATCTGAAGGTAAGACATTTTCATGTGTTCTTTCAAGTTGATTTCTCTTTGTGTATATTGTATACTTTCAACTACGTGCGTAGGTTTATTGTGAAGTTAATGTATTTTGTACATTCAATGTATTTTGAATATCCTATAACGTTTTATGAGTGTTTTGAACATCAAATTGATCAAATTGAACTGTTCCAACTATATGTGTCACCTAAGTATGTTGTGTAAATCTTCGGTTACCCCGTTACCAAAATATAAGTACAGTCATTCCTAATCAATATTTGGTAACGGTTTGATAAATGAGAAATATAGTAACAACAACGTTTTGTAAGTAAAATATTTTATGTCGTGAACGAGGATTTCACTTAATATGGGCATCGGTAATGCTGGACTTCGTTAACAGTCAACTCTTTTCGTCTAGGAAGTATACATGTATCGTGTTAAATGGAAACCCTCATATACAAGCTCAACATAAAATAGGTCATGGGACATGTATTAATAGAACGACGGTGAGTCGGTTGACTTTATTACCGTCATAATCTAAAATTACGTCCATCATTTCAAACTGACAGTAGCATTGAGAATCACATGTATTAATTAGGAGACTGGTAAATTTCAACATTTTGTTTGTAAAGAACAAATTCTAGTCTGATTTTGATTTATTATGAACATGTTTATGTTTTTCACTTTGAATAGTTGTGTCAGACGAAATCAAGATGCTTTATGATAGTCATCTGTAATAATGTAATTTATGAATATCTATATACTCTATTCATTAATCTTTTTTGAAGGAAAAGTTACCGCGATATTACACTAATGCGACATTGGTATGTCGATTAAAATATGTCTCACCCAATTTTCGTTCATAATATGAAAATTAGTCACCATTGACACTTTCGACACAATTTGAAATGACCGTGTTTCCCCTGACATAAATGACAACTTGAATAGATAAACAATGAAGGCTGACCGTCTATCTTTATTGGACACGACGCATCTGTTAGGCATCAATCATATACTCAAACAAATATTTCAAAATAAACAAATATAAATTTAATGTTGGACATTTGTCCATTATTACCTTGTCATTTCTCAACCTTTCGTGTCAGAAGTATACAATGGAAGATGCGCAAAAGGCTTTTACATGGAATTATCAGGGCAAGCAATTGTTTATATTCTGAACGAGAGTATATCGTGAATCGTTTGTCACTAACACACACCTGGTAAATCATGAGACGTCAATGTTCTATGAATCAAAAGACCCAAAACAATTCCAGGACCCAGACTGGTCCCCTGGCGCTGTTCAGGCGAAGGGCAGGGTACTAGTTTGTTACAAAATAGAGACATCAGCGGTCCAAGGTGGTCGTACCCAGAGGCGACAGTTTTTCAGTTTTTGATGTCGCAAATTTCGCCGATTATGCACCCCCCCCCCCCCCCCCCCCCGATATGCTGTGGGTAGCGGAAATATGGAACGCCAAGTATAAGAACTGGAAAAATTTCACTTTTTTTATCAGTAATAGTGGTGGCATGATAGGGTCTATCCCATTGGCTCTGATATCTGGCCTCTGGATTTTGCATTATTGTATTCTCAAGCGTTTGCGATTTATATTTGCAACACAGCCATCTCTATTCTCCTTTGACAGCATGATGCCTGTGCCCTTAAAGTATTACAGCAGTCATGGTACGGTAGGTGAATACACTTCCGGGAGAGATTATAGAAAAAAGATTCATATAACAAATGACACCATTGACATATTATAAGATACAAGATATAATGGATGTGTTGAATGTGGAAACACATTTACAGTATCAGGTAGTTTATCATTATACATATTGTGTCATATTGTGTATGGTCCCAGCCTGAGTTGTCGGTGTTCTTGTGGAAACATCTGTAGGAAATGCATTCATTTGATAAAAGAACGTCACAACTTCTTTATGTTTACAGTGAACACGATAACACGAAGTTAATAATGGAAGCACCTAGCCAACCACAGAATACTGCCTCTGTCACTGAAACACGTGTGATCACCGTCTGTGAGAGTGAATTGCTGGAAACAGGTCGTCTCAAGAAACACTGTGTTGCTGACACGCTGGAAACAGGTGATCTCAAGCAACACAAAGATCGTGGTGGTCCTTCAAAGCGATCACAGTGTGGAAAGTGTGGGGCAACATTTATTAAATCAGGTGCCACGAAAAGGCACATGCTTTGTCACAGTGAAGTCAAGCTTCATCAGTGTGATGAATGTGGGAAAGGATTTACTCAATCATGCAGCCTGAAGGCACACATGTGGATTCACAGTGTAATCAAGCCTTATCAGTGCACTGTTTGTGAAAAAACATTTACACTATCAGATGCCCTGCAGAGATACATGCGAATTCACACTGGAATCAAGCCGTATCAGTGTGTTGAATGTGGGAAAGGATTTAAACATTCACATCAGCTGCAGTCACATATGAGGATTCACAGTGGAATCAAGCCGTATCAGTGTGTTGAATGTGGGAAAGGATTTACACAATCATGTAACCTGCAGACCCACATGAGGGTTCACAGTGGAATCAAGCCTTATCATTGCATTGTGTGTGAAAAAACATTTACACTATCAGATGCCCTGCAGAGACACATGCGAATTCACACTGGAATCAAGCCGTATCAGTGTGTTGAATGTGGGAAACGATTTACACATTCAAGTAGCCTGCAGTCACACATGAGGGTTCACAGTGGAATCAAGCCGTATCAGTGTGTTGAATGTGGGAAAGAATTTACAGAATCTGGTAACCTGCAGTCACACATGAGGATTCACAGTGGAATCAAGCCGTATGAGTGTGTTGAATGTGGGAAACGATTTACACAGGCAGGTAGCCTGAAGTCACACATGAGGATTCACAGTGGAATCAAGCCGTATCAGTGTGTTGAATGTGGGAAAGGATTTAAAGATTCACATCAGCTGCAGTCACACATGAGGATTCACAGTGGAATCAAGCCTTATCATTGCATTGTGTGTGAAAAAACATTTACACTATCAGATGCCCTGCAGAGACACATGCGAATTCACACTGGAATCAAGCCGTATCAGTGTGTTGAATGTGGGAAACGATTTACACATTCAAGTAGCCTGCAGTCACACATGAGGGTTCACAGTGGAATCAAGCCGTATCAGTGTGTTGAATGTGGGAAAGAATTTACAGAATCTGGTAACCTGCAGTCACACATGAGGATTCACAGTGGAATCAAGCCGTATGAGTGTGTTGAATGTGGGAAACGATTTACACAGGCAGGTAGCCTGAAGTCACACATGAGGATTCACAGTGGAATCAAGCCGTATCAGTGTGTTGAATGTGGGAAAGGATTTAAAGATTCACATCAGCTGCAGTCACACATGAGGATTCACAGTGGAATCAAGCCTTATCATTGCATTGTGTGTGAAAAAACATTTACACTATCAGATGCCCTGCAGAGACACATGCGAATTCACACTGGAATCAAGCCGTATCAGTGTGTTGAATGTGGGAAACGATTTACACATTCAAGTAGCCTGCAGTCACACATGAGGGTTCACAGTGGAATCAAGCCGTATCAGTGTGTTGAATGTGGGAAACGATTTACACATTTAAGTAGCCTGCAGTCACACACGAGGGTTCACAGTGGAATCAAGCCGTATCAGTGTGTTGAATGTGGAAAAGAATTTACAGAATCTGGTAACCTGCATTCACACATGAAGATTCACAGTGGAATCAAGCCATATCAGTGTGTTGAATGTGGGAAACGATTTACACAGGCAGGTAGCCTGAAGTCACACATGAGGATTCACAGTGGAATCAAGCCATATCAGTGTGTTGAATGTGGGAAACGCTTTACACAGGCAGGTAACCTGCAGAGACACATGAGGGTTCACAGTGGAATCAAGCCGTATCGGTATATTGAACTTTCTGGATTGTAATCTCATAAGTGAATGAGTGTGCATAACAACTGATAAATGATAAATCAACAGACGTGTTATCGGGTAAACGTTAATCCATGCATGGGCTACTGACACCTAAAGATTGGTGTATTCCATCTGCTCTACATAACTACAGATATAGTGGGGTCAAGATTAGACTTTCTCCATTTATATACAAATTATTATCATTTGAAAATAAATATCTTCAAGAAGGTGGGTAGCTCAGATGTTTATGCTCATCCATCATCAAGACACATTATTATTATTCAAAATCTTCATGGTCACAACATCGGAAAACGTTTTGAAAACGGCAAGCATTTGGGGCCTTTAACCTTTACTAATTAGACGACATTGTCAGTTGTAGAAACCATTTACTAAAATCGAACCAGACCTTCTGGTATTCCGTTTTTCGTGGTTTTATTTTCATATTGACGTTTGTCAATTTCTTTGTCAATTCAGGAGATTTAAATTTTACATTTGTGAGCCTTTTGTGATAAAGGCTATATTCAAGCCTGCGTGGGTACACTCTTAAGGTGTTTAACATATATGATATGCAATTTAATTACCTGATTCTGAGGGCCAATTCTGGATTCTATGAACTGAAATATATTCTGTGGCGTAGACTTTTTGAATTATCTGTTACTGATTCTTTCTGAATAAAATCAACAACATCAACTCCCTTGTTGGTCACACTTTATAATGACACTTGTCGGTTAGAGTAACAGACGTGAATATGATCTTCTGATAGGTAGAATGATGGGCTACAGACTAGACACCTGTCTGCAAAAACGACACCTTGCCAGTCTGGATTGGTGGGTTGGTTGGTTTGTTGTTTAACACCACACTCAGCAATATTCCAGCGATATGGTCTGTAAATAATCGAGTCTGAACTAGACAATCCAGTCATGGATTGCCAGCCTGGGTGACAGACTTACTTACTTTGTTACCCGGTTTTAGTTAAAGCCTTATCACTGTCACTGTGGAATTAAGCCTTATCAGTGTAATGAATGGACCCGTGAAGATCTGGGGTAGAATAGGTCTTCGGCAACCCGTGCTTGCTGTAAAAGGCGATAATCATGGATGTGACAATCATGGACGTAGACATGACGTAGACGTAGACGTAACCTCAGATGACGTACACACAGGTGTATGATTCTACCATCCAGCATGGGTGACAAGGATGTGTGATTGTGATATAGCATTTTTTATATGTAAATTAGTTGCCGCTTCTGGTTTTTAGTACATGAACTTTACTTTATTCTGTGGCGAAGGCGTTTTGAATTTCATGTTACTGATCATTCCTGAATAAAACATTGTTTAAATCAATATGAAAGGACTTTTGAGAAAAAAGAATATTTATTTTCCTAAAAAAACGAAAACTAACAGAGTTAGTTGGTTGGATTCCGTCGTGGCACACGGCGATCCAAAACATCCTATACATGCTCAATCGGAGAGAAATCGTGTGAACCTGTCTTTCGTTATCCTGTTGAAAACGTCCCCCACGATGATGTGATGTTGCACGACCTCGTCTCCATGTGGGCTTTTGATAGCATATATTGTCTAGCCTGTAGCCCATTAATCTACCTGTCTCGTTGGTCCCACTTCAAAATGACACATTGCCAGTCCGAGTAACGGACGTGCATGCGGTCTTCTGATAAGTTTAATGATGTGTTTGATGCAATCATTGAAACGTCCATAGTGAGTGAGTTTGATTTTAAGCCGCTTTAAGCAATATTCGAGAAATATCACGGCGGGGGACACTATAAATGGGCTTCACACATTGTACCCATGTCGGGAATCGAACCCGGGTCTTGGACGTGATGAGCGAACACTTTAAACCACAAGGCATGCTGTTGATAGCGGATAGCCTCGTGGTTAAAGCGTTATCTCGTCACGTCGAAGACCCGGGTTCGATTCCATACATGGATACAATGCGTGAAGCCCATTTCTTGTGTCCCCCGCCGTGATATTGCTGGGATATTGATAAAAGCGGTGTAAAATCAAACTCACCCACTCACTCACTCACTTGATTTTAGTAACGGTACATTTCCCCACCCCCAACAGTTCTTGTTTTTTTTAATAATTAATAAGTGGAAGTGGGGTGGGGACTCTCACATTTACCACTAATTTTAATAGGATGCTGGAAATGAATATACACTGCCATCTTTACTGACTGTAGATGGTATTTGTGATCTCAACAATCACCGGGTGTGTCCATGTAGAGAGGATCTCATTTAGGTTTGTGATTTTGACACATGCTCTCTAAGCATGCTGAGTATTAGTGCTGAGGAATTCCAATAGTAGTAGTAAAATGTTTATTAAAGTGTCATATAATGTGAGAGCTGGGAAATTAAGCTACGAAATCAGAAGACTCACAGGAAACAATAACAAACTCCTCGATTCAACAACGAAAGAAAAAGAAAGGATAGGTAGGGAGAGAGGTAATTTAATAATCATGGCGACGACTGTCGTCTCTTAAACATTTTAAAAAGCATTGCGGTAAGCAATTTTTGTTAAACATTTGAATTCATTAAGTAAATAATTTTTTCTTCTTCTCATATCACATTATAATTGCGGTTGTTTTCTTCAGCTGCACAATATAAATCATACCGTAAATCTTCATAAAAACTGCATTGTATACGTAGTAATAAATGACATTCATCTTCCACCAAATCACAATTGCAATATTTGCATAACCTCTCCGATAGTGGTAGAGAAGGCTTGGAATATCTGCATGTCTCAACAAACAAATGAAACATTTCACATCTAAACTTGGCTAAAATACGGCGGTGGTCTTCATGCAAAATATTTTAACATAAAAATCAACAGAAGGTGTACACTTATATTTTCTGTAGGTATGTCACTTATTTCCATTCACATTACCCGTATCATTCCAAAGCGAAGTGTACCAATTAACTGCATCATCTTGAAATAAAAGGTTTTTAATATACCTAACACAGCGTTTAACACCCCATCTGATTTCCACTAAGTGAGTACCATTATACTGGTTCAAAAGGTTCATAATTTTAAAATCCCATGATGTGGTAAAATATCTAGACCATCGGTGAATAATATTAAGCAGGCGCTCTTGCTGCATAGATTTAAGTCTGAAACATTCTATTTTCTGAGTAACCAAAACTGAGCACAAGCCCATATCCCCTCTACTTGCCAGAACAGGAGCATATTTATTTAAACCAAGAAACATCCTGGCAGCCTTATTTTTCACAACCTCAACTTCTTTAACACTATGTAAGCCCTACATACTGGCACCAAAACACAAAACTGGTTCAACCAGCGATTTATACAACTTCGTAAAAACATCATATGACATTCCACCAGCATTATTATACTAAGTGTACAGAGCAGATAACACTCTACGAGCAGACTTACAAAGCTCTTTCCCGGTCTTGTGCATGTCTAAATATTCGTTTAAACACAATCCTAGATAACGGTAAGCGCCATCATAAGAAATGTGAGTATTGCCACACGAAAACTGATAACTAACAAGATCTAACAACAGATTTCTTCCGAAAATGGACAATTTGTGTTGTCATCATTAATGCTAAAACGCCATTTTCAACACGAAGTAATTACAATATCTAACATATTTCGGAGATATGCTTCCCAATATCATCAGTGTATAACAAAATGGATAACATTTCGTTATCCAATGGTACACCCCATTTGAGATTTGTTATCTCCGTGTCTAGATCATTTCTATATATAGAAAATAGAGTTGGTTACAATTTGCAACCTTGCTTAACACCCTTGGAAACATTAAAAGAATCTGTTAAATAGTCATTAACGCGTACTGCACATCTCACATCTTGATATAGGGCTTGAACAGCTTTCAATATCTTCCCTTGTACTCCAACAGACATAAGTTTAAACCATTGACAATTGCGGTCAGCAGTGTCAAATACTTTCTTTAAGCCTATAAAACACACATAGGTTCATAGTCAAGCAGATTTCCTATTATTTATCACATTATATGAAGTATACAAATGGTCGATACAGTTTTTGTCAGAACGGAAACCATTTTGTTCCTGAGACAATATAATGTTCTTCTCAAGCCAGTTCCTGATTCTATTTTCAAAACGCCTGCATATATTTTACATGGCATAGAAACGAAATTAATACCTCTATACGACAGAGGATCAGTCGGGACACTTTTATCTTTTGGTATGGGGCTAATAAGTCCTTGGTTCCACTGTGTTGGTGACACAGAATAATCAAAGCAGTAACTGACTAATTTATGCAATAATTTTATGCAGTGAGAGTTCTGTAAAACTTCAACTGGAACACCATCCAGATGGACAGCTTTGCCTTTTTTAGTGTGTTATGAGATGGGCATGTTGAGCTCGAGCGTATCCATCTGCACGTGCTCTGTACCGTTACCTACACGTCCACACACTTTATAATAGTGGTCTTCATCAAACGATCTGTTATTACTGCCGTTATAAAGCGTGTTGTACGAGTCCCTCCAGTGTTCCTAGTTTACATTTTACTATTTCTGTGTTTTTTAGGGGGTTTATTCCTTTCGTTCTAAGTGGGTAGATCAGACTTGGTTAGAATACGTGTATATTTGTGACAGCTTAAAGCTGGTGGCATTTAGTGATGGTGAATAGTATTATTGTTTGTCAATTTGTTAATAGAACTGTGATATAAAGTATATGTTGGCTGTTGTTTACATCACTTTTACTCAGTGTGGGGAAATGTCCTATATACCACGAAGTGGTCATAACATTGACACTTGACAATGAGCTATTTGTTTATCAATGTTTTATGTTTGATGTTAACTATGTTATGATGAACATCAGGTGAATGAATGATTGGATGCAGAGAGCATGTATACATGTACACGTAAAAGCAAGAGTAATGGACAAATGGAACACAGAGGGTTAATTATCACTGAATTGTAATCAGCAATGGACAAATAGAAGTCAGTTGCGTGGCACAGACCAATTAAATCGATAAGTGCAAGCATTATCAGATATGTTCCCTGGCCACGATTTATGGCTTTCCACAAATGAAGAAAAAACATTTTCCACTATCAGGTGAAAAGACGATTATGAGGTAGTAAACATCACAAAGAAAAGGGACATTACTCCGCGACGCTTAGAAGTAATCCATTGTGACTGAGTTCACTTGGGGAGAATTTGCCGTGGATAGTATATTGTCATAGTGTTTTGTTCATGAAGAACCAAACTGTTCTAACACAAATATCAACATTGAAGTCGTGTTTATTTGGTATTGTCTTACGGAAAATATTAATAATTCATATCCAAATAAAATAAATATAATATTTAAGAGTTCACACATGCATCTTTGCAGTCAATCTTCGGATGTCTCACAAAAAACAACTCACATCAGTTGTAAAAACATGTCGCCAGGCCTAATTTAGTAGATGCATGCCTGTTTACGTGACAGTCCTTACCAGATAAACAACACGCCGACCAATAACGATAATCCCCCCTCAAAGTGCCAGCCTCTGTTTTCAATAACCATAATCCGCTAGATAACCTGTATTGCATTGTTCACCGGGAACTAAAGGTGATAATAAATGGAATTAATGTCTTTGAAAAATAACCGATCAGCGATTGCTGTGCGTCCTTCCACTATATAAGTAGGTGCAGTTCGAGTGCCCCTAATCACCAGCACGCGTAGAATAACCTCAACTAGAAACGGAAAAACGGTCCCAACCTCCATTGTCATAATCAACTTCAAAAAGACCGCTAAATTCCCTGAAGCCCCCAAACACATATCCTTCGGAGCCCACACCAACTTAGAAGTCAAACCCTATATAAAGCAGGTTAAGCAACGTACAAAGTGCCTCAAATACAACCACACTGCCTCCCAATGCACATACCGTAAAACTAAATGTAAAAAATGCGCACAAACAGACTGCCCAGGCACATGCACACCCTGGTGCATCCACTGCAAATCCACCCAACACACTTCACTCTCAAACCAATGCCCATACAGACACACACTCACCCAGCAGGCCAACAAACACATAAACATAGACACGGCTAAAATCCAAACACGAAAATTTGCTACACCTGCATCTAAACCACTCCTCCCTACACCACACCCAAACACCATCCCACAAACAAACACCACACCCATAACCGACAGCTCTGTCTGGGGCCCCTACCGAGAAACCGCACCCACCTCACACATACAAGCAGCCACTCAACCAACCACGAACCCTCCCACATCTCACATAGCCAAAACATCAACCCCCGCATGCAAAACAAATCTCAAAATGACCACCACAACACGACCCTCATCCAAGCACCCTACAGCCCATATGGTAACAACGCTCTCCCACAAGCAAGCACAACAACAAAACACAAACACTATGAAATCATCAGCTACACCCATCCCACAAACACCTTCACAATCCTCCACATCACATGCCTCCCCCATGGAAACTCAATCAGCTAAACCTAATCTAACCGATGACGAAGATTTCTCCACTACTGAGGAAACAATAGACACTACTCCAACTAAAACAAACCAAACTCCCCAACCAGCCAACACCCAAAACCTAAACAACCTCACCTTACTCCTAGCATACATGCATAGTCAAAACTCACCAAAAGCTAGCATGAAATCCTTCTACAAAGTAGCTTTCAATCTAAAATTAACCGATCTTCCCTTCTTCCTCTTTAACCTCCATCTAAAAGAACTCACCGAATAAAATAAAAAATAAAAAATAAATCACCAATCACCCGAACCCAATATTCGAAGGACTAAATATTTTTCAGTGGAACGCCAACGGACTCACCTCCCACGGCCATGAACTAAAAACTAAATTTAAACTAAATAAAGGCCCTCACATTGCTTGTATACAGGAAACCAAATTCTCAAAAAAATCCAAATTCACACTACCTAACTACAACTCAGTTAGAACTGACAGAGCTAAACCGAAAACAAGAAGAGCCGCAGGAGGACTAATCATATTTATCAGGGAAGATATAAATTACGAAGAAATAAAAATAGACACGCCAAACCTAGAAGCCAACGGCATTAAAATCACATTAAATAACCGAAACATAAACATCATAAATATTTACCACTGGGCGGAACAAAAAGTCCAACCTGAGGATCTAAACAAACTACTCCAAATAAGCGATAAATCTACTATATTCCTAGGAGACTTTAACGCTCACCATCCTACATGGAGCATAGATGATAAAATAGATAATCATGGCAAATTAATCTCCGAATGGATAGAAACAAACGACCTAGTACTCCTTAATAGCAACCAACCCACGAGGTACGATAAGATAAACCAAAAAATGTCGGCTATCGACCTAACCATATGCACCGCAGATCTAGCCCAAAGTACTCAATGGGAAGTGCACGACGTCCCGCTAGGTAGTGACCACTTCCCCATAAACATAACCATAGGAAATACAAACGTACCAATCCAAACAGAAAACCAAGAACCAAAATTCCATTACAATAAAGCTAACTGGGACCAATTCCAAGATATCTGCAACGAAGCTAACCTAAACGAAATAGAAAATAATGATCCAGAAACCTATTGTAAAAACCTAACAGACTATATAATAAACGCAGCCAAAACCTCCATCCCCTTCAAAACATCTAAGACAGGCAAACCGACGGTACCATGGTGGAATGAGGAAATAGAACAGACTAGACGAAAACGTAAATCAGCCTTCAATAAAGCAAAACGCGACTACAAATATTTAAACATAGCCCACGAACTAAACCACCAGGTTCAAAAACTAGTCCAAATAGCCAAAAGTAGAGACTGGAAAAAATTCTGCGAAGGTATAAATAACCGTACAGATGCCAGAACGGTCTGGCGCAAAATCCACGCCATCAGAGGCTTAAAACGACATAAAAAAACCCTAACATTGACAACTCAACCAACCCCGCCCAAAAAGCAAATAATCTCGCCAACCACTTTTCGGCCGTTAGCAGTAACACCAACTTCAGTAAAAAATTCCAAGATAAACTTAAAACAGAAAACAAACCTACAAAAGAACCAAACAATAACAATCTAGAAATAAATCAACCCTACACAATGGAGGAGCTCCTCTACGTAATCCAAAACAGGAAAAAGGGCACAGCCCCAGGATTAGACCTAACTTCTTACCAAATAATTAAACAACTCCCCCTAAAACTACTCCAGGCACTACTCAAACTATACAATCTCATCTACCTAAACGGACAGGTTCCTACTCCCTGGAAACAGGCCCTAGTCATACCAATCCCTAAACCTAATAAACCAGCTAATCAAGCTAACTCATATAGACCAATATCCCTAACTTCAAACTTATGTAAAGTAATGGAATCAATGGCTAAAAATAGATTACAACATTACTTAACCCAAAATAACATCATAAACCCAGATCAAAGCGGTTTCACTCCTGGCCGCTCAACCCTAGATAACCTCACCCGACTAGAACAAGATATTAAGACAGGACAGCTAAATAAACAATATACCACAGGCATCTTCTTAGACTTCTCTAAAGCTTTCGACATGGTATGGCACGATGGGCTAATACAAAAACTTAAAAAAATAGGTCTCAAAGGTCAGATAATAAACTACATCCAGGACTTCCTAAACAATCGTAAAATAACCGTGGGTATAGACCAAACTCTATCGGACCAATGTCCCCTAGAAAATGGTACTCCACAGGGCAGTATCCTCAGCCCCACCCTCTTCAATATAATGATAAACGATCTATTCGAGGGCCTATCCCCTAAAGTAAACACATCAAAATTCGCGGATGATGGAGCCATCTGGATCCGCACTAAAAGCATGAACATGGTCCAAAATTTACTCCAAAAATCTCTTAATAAAATACAACAGTGGGCTGACAAATGGGGCTTCTCCCTTAACTCAGAAAAAACAACAGGAATAGTATTCAAACATAAAAACATGAAACCCGCCTCCCCAATCCTCCAGCTAAACAATCAAACAATCAAATTTCAAAAACAAACCAAATTCTTAGGACTTATTTTCGATGAACATCTCACCTGGGATGCTCACATCCAAAACCTAACAACTAAATGCAGTAAAGACCTAAACACCCTAAGATGCCTAACTGGTTCTAACTGGGGAGCATCCAAAGATACCCTCCTCTCTCTCTACATATCACTAATTAGATCAAAACTAGACTACGGCTGCGCCATATACAACACCCTAAACAACTCTCTATCTAAAAAACTTGACTCAATACAATATCAGGCTCTCAAACTAATTACACGCACCCAACATGGCACCTCCTACACCTCACTTCAGGCCTTAACAGGAGAAATGCCACTAAGTCTACGCAGGGAACAGCTAAGCTTAAATTTCTGGGCCGCGTCCCAATCAAACCCTCTCATCCAAAACTTAATAAACCAAAACATCAGCCCCAAAAACCAAGCTCTAGCTCGTAAACACCCCTTACTTACCCCAATATCCCAAAGAATAACAAACTACCTAAATGAACACCAAATTAAAAATCTTAAACAAAACTGCAAACAATCAAATATCTTCACCCCTAAACTTAAAATACCCAAAATAGACACAACACTAGCTAGCCAAATAAATAAACAAACCGACCCAAACATAGCTAAAACTACCACACTAGCATACATACACGAAAATTGGCCAAATTGGTGTCACATTTACACGGACGGATCCTCAGATCCGACCTCCAAACACACAGGTTTCGGAGTCCATACCACACAACCAACTAAAACCACACAATCCTTCCGACTCCCAAACAACCAATCAATATTCACGGCAGAACTAATGGGCATGGCCTCAGCCGTCCATAATCAAGAATCAAAAAACCACAAAAAAAATCCTAATACTTACCGACTCCCTAAGTGGACTGCAAGCCCTCCAAAACAAAAATACCAAAAACCGACCTAAATTAATAAATCAAATACTTAAAAGCTCCAACGACCTAACTAAGGCAGGCAAACAAATAACATTCTTGTGGATACCCGCCCACGTAGGAATATACGGTAATGAAAACGCAGATAAAGCAGCTAAACTATCCCTCAAAATCCCAGAAATAAGCTTAAACTTACCCATCTCAAAATCAGAAATTAAAAGTGTAAACAAGCAAAAAATCACCAAAAAATGGCATAACCTATATCTAAACTCAAATAGCCAAATCAAAAAAGTGCTCAGCAAACCACTAACCAAACCAAAAATTCTCCATCCATCCAAAGAAATCGACAGAGTAATCACTAAACTCCAAACAGGACACACCAACCTAAATAACCACCTAAAAAAAATTAAAAAACACACTACAGGTAACTGCCCGCACTGCAAACAACCAGAAACCCCAGAACACGCACTCATCCACTGCACACACTACCTAACACATCGAACCGCATTACAAACCACCCTCAATCTAAACAAGGCTCTAACTCTAGAAGCAATACTAAACCCACAAAATAAACTAGAAAACTTCAAGGCCTTAGGCGTATTCTTAATCAAAACGGAACTAATAAAACGCATCTAAAAACACAATAACTCACCAAATCAAAATCACATAAACAAACAAACATCCACCATACCCAGCTCCCTTAGTTCTCCTCCCCAATCCCATCGGCATCTATTCCAAATCTCAAAATTCCCAAATTCTATATAAGCAACCCCTAAAACCCCCCTCTTGGGTTGCACAGACCACCTTCGCCCCTTTCGGAAACACATTAAATGGCCTGGCCGGGCCCGTGTGCGAAATACGCATCAGTCGGAAAGCGCACGTTAAATCTCCAAAGTAAGTAAGTAAGTAAGTGAGTGCCAAGTCACACTGCATCTGAATACATTTTGGAACGCTAGCAACTCGTATATCATCATTCATTGATTTTATCTGAAGGTAAGACATTTTCATGTGTTCTTTCAAGTTGATTTCTCTTTGTATATATTGTATACTTTCAACTACGTGCGTAGGTTTATTGTGAAGTTAATGTATTTTGTACATTCAATGTATTTTGAATATCCTATTACGTTTTATGAGTGTTTTGAACATCAAATTGATGCGCACTGTTCCAACTATATGTGTCACCTAAGTATGTTGTGTAAATCTTCGGTTACCCCGTTACCAAAATATAAGTACAGTCATTCCTAATCAATATTTGGTAACGGTTTGATAAATGAGAAATATAGTAACAACAACGTTTTGTAAGTAAAATATTTTATGTCGTGAACGAGCATTTGACTTAATATGGGCATCGGTAATGCTGGACTTCGTAAACAGTCAACTCTTTTCGTCTAGGAAGTATACATGTATCGTGTTAAATGGAAACCCTCATATTCGAGCTCAATATAAAATAGGTCATGGGACATGTATTAATAGAACGACGGTGAGTCGGTTGACTTTATTACCCTAATAATCTAAAATTACGTCCATCATTTCAAACTGACAGTAGCATTGAGAATCACGTGTATTAATTAGGAGACTGGTTAATTTCAACATTTTGTTTTTAAAGAACAAATTCTAGTCTGATTTTCATTTATTATGAACATGTTTATGTTTTTCACTAAGAATGGTTGTGTCAGACGAAATCAAGATGCTTTATGATAGTCATCTGTAATAATGTAATTTATGAATATCTATTATTTATCCTCTATTCATTAATCTTTTTTGAAGGTAAAGTTACCGCGATATTACACTAATGCGACATTGGTATGTCGATTAAAATATGTCTCACCCAATTTTCGTTCATAATATGAAATTTAGTCACCACTGACACTTTCGACACAATTTGAAATGACCGTGTTTCCCCTGACATAAATGACAACTTGAATAGATAAACAATGAAGGCTGACCGTCTATCTTTATTGGACACGACGCATCTGTTAGGCATCAATCATATACTCAAACAAATATTTCAAAATAAACAAATATAAATTTAATGTTGGACATTTGTCCATTATTACCTTGTCATTTCTCAACCTTTCGTGTCAGAAGTATACAATGAAAGATGCGCAAAAGGCTTTTACATGGAATTATCAGGGCAAGCAATTGTTTATATTCTGAACGAGAGTATATCGTGAATCGTTTGTCACTAACACACACCTGGTAAATCATGAGACGTCAATGTTCTATGAATCAAAAGACCCAAAACAATTCCAGGACCCAGACTGGTCCCCTGGCGCTGTTCAGGCGAAGGGCAGGGTACTAGTTTGTTACAAAATAGAGACATCAGCGGTCCGAGGTGGTCGTACCCAGAGGCTACAGTTTTTCAGTTTTTGATGTCGCAAATTTCGCCGATTATGCACCCCCCCCCCCCCCCCCCCCCCCCGATATGCTGTGGGTAGCGGAAATATGGAACGCCCAGTATAAGAACTGGAAAAATTTCACTTTATTTATCAGTAATAGTGGTGGCATGATAGGGTCTATCCCATTGGCTCTGATATCTGGCCTCTGGATTTTGCATTATTGTATTCTCAAGCGTTGGCGATTTATATTTGCAACACAGCCATCTCTATTCTCCTTTGACAGCATGATGCCTGTGCCCTTAAAGTATTACAGCAGTCATGGTACGGTAGGTGAATACACTTCAGGGAGAGATTATAGAAAAAAGATTAATATAACAAATGACACCATTGACATATTATAAGATACAAGATATAATGGATGCGTTGAATGTGGAAACACATTTACAGTATCAGGTAGTTTATCATTATACATATTGTGTCATATTGTGTATGGTCCCAGCCCGAGTTGTCGGTGTTCTTGTGGAAACATCTGTAGGAAATGCATTGATTTGATAAAAGAACGTCACAACTTCTTTATGTTTACAGTGAACACGATAACACGAAGTTAATAATGGAAGCACCTAGCCAACCACAGAATACTGCCTCTGTTACTGAAACACGTGTGATCACCGTCTGTGAGAGTGAATTGCTGGAAACAGGTCGTCTCAAGAAACACTGTGTTGCTGACACGCTGGAAACAGGTGATCTCCAGGAAGATCGTGGTGGTCCTTCAAAGCGATCACAGTGTGGAAAGTGTGGGGCAACATTTATTAAATCAGGTGCCACGAAAAGGCACATGCTTTGTCACAGTGAAGTCAAGCTTCATCAGTGTGATGAATGTGGGAAAGGATTTACTCAATCATGCAGCCTGAAGGCACACATGTGGATTCACAGTGTAATCAAGCCTTATCAGTGCACTGTTTGTGAAAAAACATTTACACTATCAGATGCCCTGCAGAGACACATGCGAATTCACACTGGAATCAAGCCGTATCAGTGTGTTGAATGTGGGAAAGGATTTAAACATTCACATCAGCTGCAGTCACATATGAGGATTCACAGTGGAATCAAGCCGTATCAGTGTGTTGAATGTAGGAAAGGATTTACACAATCAGGTAACCTGCAGACCAACATGAGGGTTCACAGTGGAATCAAGCCTTATCATTGCATTGTGTGTGAAAAAACATTTACACTATCAGGTGCCCTGCAGAGACACATGCGAATTCACACTGGAATCAAGCCGTATCAGTGTGTTGAATGTGGGAAACGATTTACACATTCAAGTAGCCTGCAGTCACACATGAGGGTTCACAGTGGAATCAAGCCGTATCAGTGTGTTGAATGTGGGAAAGAATTTACAGAATCTGGTAACCTGCAGTCACACATGAAGATTCACAGTGGAATCAAGCCATATCAGTGTGTTGAATGTGGGAAAGGATTTACACAGGCAGGTAGCCTGAAGTCACACATGAGGATTCACAGTGGAATCAAGCCGTATCAGTGTGTTGAATGTGGGAAAGGATTTAAACATTCACATCAGCTGCAGTCACATATGAGGATTCACAGTGGAATGAAGCCTTATCATTGCATTGTGTGTGAAAAAACATTTACACTATCAGATGCCCTGCAGAGACACATGCGAATTCACACTGGAATCAAGCCGTATCAGTGTGTTGAATGTGGGAAACGATTTACACATTCAAGTAGCCTGCAGTCACACATGAGGGTTCACAGTGGAATCAAGCCGTATCAGTGTGTTGAATGTGGGAAACGATTTACACATTCAAGTAGCCTGCAGTCACACATGAGGGTTCACAGTGGAATCAAGCCGTATCAGTGTGTTGAATGTGGGAAAGAATTTACAGAATCTGGTAACCTGCATTCACACATGAAGATTCACAGTGGAATCAAGCCATATCAGTGTGTTGAATGTGGGAAACGATTTACACAGGCAGGTAGCCTGAAGTCACACATGAGGATTCACAGTGGAATCAAGCCGTATCAGTGTGTTGAATGTGAGAAACGCTTTACACAGGCAGGTAACCTGCAGAGACACATGAGGGTTCACAGTGGAATCAAGCCGTATCGGTATATTGAACTTTCTGGATTGTAATCTCATAAGTGAATGAGTGTGCATAACAACTGATAAATGATAAATCAACAGACGTGTTATCGGGTAAACGTTAATCCATGCATGGGCTACTGACACCTAGAGATTGGTGTATTCCATCTGCTCTACATAACTACAGATATAGTGGGGTCAAGATTAGACTTTCTCCATTTATATACAAATTATTATCATTTGAAAATAAATATCTTCAAGAAGGTGGGTAGCTCAGATGTTTATGCTCATCCATCATCAAGACACATTATTATTATTCAAAATCTTTCATGGTCACAACATCGGAAAACGTTTTGAAAACGGCAAGCATTTGGGGCCTTTAACCTTTACTAATTAGACGACATTGTCAGTTGTAGAAACCATTTACTAAAATCGAACCAGACCTTCTGGTATTCCGTTTTTCGTGGTTTTATTTTCATATTGACGTTTGTCAATTTCTTTGTCAATTCAGGAGATTTAAACTTTACATTTGTGAGCCTTTTGTGATAAAGGCTATATTCAAGCCTGCGTGGGTACACTCTTAAGGTGTTTAACATATATGATATGCAATTTAATTACCTGATTCTGAGGGCCAATTCTGGATTCTATGAACTGAAATATATTCTGTGGCGTAGACTTTTTGAATTATCTGTTACTGATTCTTTCTGAATAAAATCAACAACATCAACTCCCTTGTTGGTCACACTCTATAATGACACTTGTCGGTTAGAGTAACAGACGTGAATATGATCTTCTGATAGGTAGAATGATGGGCTACAGACTAGACACCTGTCTGCAAAAACGACACCTTGCCAGTCTGGATTAGTGGGTTGGTTGGTTTGTTGTTTAACACCACACTCAGCAATATTCCAGCGATATGGTCTGTAAATAATCGAGTCTGAACTAGACAATCCAGTCATGGATTGCCAGCCTGGGTGACAGACTTACTTACTTTGTTACCCGGTTTTAGTTCAAGCCTTATCACTGTCACTGTGGAATTAAGCCTTATCAGTGTAATGAAAGGACCCGTGAAGATCTGGGGTAGAATAGGTCTTCAGCAACCCATGCTTGCTGTAAAAGGCGATAATCATGGATGTGACAATCATGGACGTAGACAATGATGCCTGAAATAACGTAACCTCAGATGACGTACACACAGGTGTATGATTCTACCATCCAGCATGGGTGACAAGGATGTGTGATTGTGATATAGCATTTTTTATATGTAAATTAGTTGCCGCTTCTGGTTTTTAGTACATGAACTTTACTTTATTCTATGGCGAAGGCTTTTTGAATTTCATGTTACTGATCATTCCTGAATAAAACATTGTTTAAATCAATATGAAAGGACTTTTGAGAATAAAGAATTTTTATTCTCTTAAAAAACGAAAACTAGTTTAGTTTGTTGGATTCCGTCGAGGCACACGGCGATCCAAAACATCCTATAGATGCTTAATCGGAGAGAAATCGTGTGGACTTGTCTTTCGTTATCCTGTTGAAAAAGTCCCCCACGATGATGTGATGTTGCACGACCTCGTCTCCATGTGGGCTTTTGATAGCATATATTGTCTAGCCTGTAGCCCATTAATCTACCTGTCTCGTTGGTCCCACTTCAAAATGACACATTGCCAGTCCGAGTAACGGACGTGCATGCGGTCTTCTGATAAGTTTAATGATGTGTTTGATGCAATCATTGAAACGTCCATAGTGAGTGAGTTTGATTTTAAGCCGCTTTAAGCAATATTCGAGAAATATCACGGCGGGGGACACTATAAATGGGCTTCACACATTGTACCCATGTCGGGAATCGAACCCGGGTCTTGGACGTGATGAGCGAACACTTTAAACCACAAGGCATGCTGTTGATAGCGGATAGCCTCGTGGTTAAAGCGTTATCTCGTCACGTCGAAGACCCGGGTTCGATTCCATACATGGATACAATGCGTGAAGCCCATTTCTTGTGTCCCCCGCCGTGATATTGCTGGGATATTGATAAAAGCGGTGTAAAATCAAACTCACCCACTCACTCACTCACTTGATTTTAGTAACGGTACATTTCCCCACCCCCAACAGTTCTTGTTTTTTTTAATAATTAATAAGTGGAAGTGGGGTGGGGACTCTCACATTTACCACTAATTTTAATAGGATGCTGGAAATGAATATACACTGCCATCTTTACTGACTGTAGATGGTATTTGTGATCTCAACAATCACCGGGTGTGTCCATGTAGAGAGGATCTCATTTAGGTTTGTGATTTTGACACATGCTCTCTAAGCATGCTGAGTATTAGTGCTGAGGAATTCCAATAGTAGTAGTAAAATGTTTATTAAAGTGTCATATAAAGTGAGAGCTGGGAAATTAAGCTACGAAATCAGAAGACTCACAGGAAACAATAACAAACTCATCGATTCAACAACAAAAGAAAAAGAAAGGATAGGTAGAGAGAGAGGTAATTTAATAATCAAGGCGACGACTGTCGTCTCTTAAACATTTTAAAAAGCATTGCGGTAAGCAATTTTTGTTAAACATTTGAATTCATTAAGTAAATAATTTTTTCTTCTTCTCATATCACATTATAATTGCGGTTGTTTTCTTCAGCTGCACAATATAAATCATACCGTAAATCTTCATAAAAACTGCATTGTATACGTAGTAATAAATGACATTCATCTTCCACCAAATCACAATTGCAATATTTACATAACCTCTCCGATAGTGGTAAAGGAGGCTTGGAATATCTGCATGTCTCAACAAACAAATGAAAAATTTCACATCTAAACTTGGCTAAAATACGGCGGTGGTCTCTATGCAAAATATTTTAACATAAAAATCAACAGAAGGTGTACACTTATATTTTCTGTAGGTATGTAACTTATTTCCATTCACATTACCCGTATCATTCCAAAGCGAAGTGTACCAATTAACTGCGTCATCTTGAAATAAAAGGTTTTAATATACCTAACACAGCGTTTAACACCCCATCTGATTTGCAGTAAGTGAGTACCATTATACTGGTTCAAAAGGTTCATAATTTTAAAATCCCATGATGTGGTAAAATATCTAGACCATCGGTGAATAATATTAAGCAGGCGCTCTTGCGGCATAGATTTAAGTCTGAAACATTCTATTTTCTGAGTAACCAAAACTGAGCACAAGCCCATATCCCCTCTACTTGCAAGAACAGGAGCATATTTATTTAAACCAAGAAACATCCTGGCAGCCTTATTTTTCACAACCTCAACTTCTTTAACACTATGTAAGCCCTACATACTGGCACCAAAACACAAAACTGGTTCAACCAGCGATTTATACAACTTCGTAAAAACATCATATGACATTCCACCAGCATTATTATACTAAGTGTACAGAGCAGATAACACTCTACGAGCAGACTTACAAAGCTCTTTCCCGGTCTTATGCATGTCTAAATATTCGTTAAAACACAATCCTAGATAACGGTAAGCGCTATCATAAGAAATGTGAGTATTGCCACACGAAAACTGATAACTAACAAGATCTAACAACAGATTTCTTCCGAAAATGGACAATTTCTGTTGTCATCATTAATGCTAAAACGCCATTTTCAACACCAAGTAATTACAATATCTAACATATTTCGGAGATATGCTTCCCAATATCATCAGTGTATAACAAAATGGATAACATTTCGTTATCCAGTGGTTCACCCCATTTGAGATTTGTTATCTCCGTGGCTAGATCATTTCTATATATAGAAAATAGAGTTGGTTACAATTTGCAACCTTGCTTAACACCCTTGGAAACATTAAAAGAATCTGTTAAATAGTCATTAACGCGTACTGCACATCTCACATCTTGATATAGGGCTTGAACAGCTTTCAATATCTTCCCTTGTACTCCAACAGACATAAGTTTAAACCATTGACAATTGCGGTCAGCAGTGTCAAATACTTTCTTTAAGCCTATAAAACACACATAGGTTCATAGTCAAGCAGATTTCCTATTATTTATCACATTATATGAAGTATACAAATGGTCGATACAGTTTTTGTCAGAACGGAAACCATTTTGTTCCTGAGACAATATAATGTTCTTCTCAAGCCAGTTCCTGATTCTATTTTCAAAACGCCTGCATATATTTTACATGGTATAGAAACGAAATTAATACCTCTATACGACAGAGGATCAGTCGGGACACTTTTATCTTTTGGTATGGGGCTAATAAGTCCTTGGTTCCACTGTGTTGGTGACACAGAATAATCAAAGCAGTAACTGACTAATTTATGCAATAATTTTATGCAGTGAGAGTTCTGTAAAACTTCAACTGGAACACCATCCAGATGGACAGCTTTGCCTTTTTTAGTGTGTTATGAGATGGGCATGTTGAGCTCGAGCGTATCCATCTGCACGTGCTCTGTACCGTTACCTACACGTCCACACACTTTATAATAGTGGTCTTCATCAAACGATCTGTTATTACTGCCGTTATAAAGCGTGTTGTACGAGTCCCTCCAGTGTTCCTAGTTTACATTTTACTATTTCTGTGTTTTTATAGGGGGTTTATTCCTTTCGTTCTAAGTGGGTAGATCAGACTTGGTTAGAATACGTGTATATTTGTGACAGCTTAAAGCTGGTGGCATTTAGTGATGATGAATAGTATTATTGTTTGTCAATTTGTTAATAGAACTGTGATATAAAGTATATGTTGGCTGTTGTTTACATCACTTTTATTCAGTGTGGGGAAATGTCCTATATACCACGAAGTGGTCATAACATTGACACTTGACAATGAGCTATTTGTTTATCAATGTTTTATGTTTGATGTTAACTATGTTATGATGAACATCAGGTGAATGAATGATTGGATGCAGAGAGCATGTATACATGTACACGTAAAAGCAAGAGTAATGGACAAATGGAACGCAGAGGGTTAATTATCACTGAATTGTAATCAGCAATGGACAAATAGAAGTCAGTTGCGTGGCACAGACCAATTAAATCGATAAGTGCAAGCATTATCAGATATGTTCCCTGGCCACGATTTATGGCTTTCCACAAATGAAGAAAAAACATTTTCCACTATCAGGTGAAAAGACGATTATGAGGTAGTAAACACCACAAAGAAAAGGGACATTACTCCGCGACGCTTAGAAGTCATCCATTGTGACTGAGTTCACTTGGGGAGAATTTGCCGTGGATAGTATATTGTCATAGTGTTTTGTTCATGAAGGACCAAACTGTTCTAACACAAATATCAACATTGAAGTCGTGTTTATTTGGTATTGTCTTAGGGAAAATATTAATAATTCATATCCAAATAAAATAAATATAATATTCAAGAGTTCACACATGCATCTTTGCAGTCAATCTTCGGATGTCTCACAAAAAACAACTCACATCAGTTGTAAAAACATGTCGCAAGGCATAATTTAGTAGATGCATGCCTGTTTACGTGACAGTCCTTACCAGATAAACAACACGCCGACCAATAACGATAATCCCCCCTCAAAGTGCCAGCCTCTGTTTTCAATAAACATAATCCGCTAGATAACCTGTATTGCATTGTTCACCGGGAACTAAAGATGATAATAAATGGAATTAATGTCTTTGAAAAATAACCGATCAGCGATTGCTGTGCGTCCTTCCACTATATAAGTAGGTGCAGTTCGAGCGCCAAGTCA